AGGCTGTGCAGAACGGGTACGGTGCCGTGCTGAAAACGCCTCAATCAATCCAAGGCTCGTGTGTCCTCGAAGTTAATCAGGTAATAGGTAAGAAGCCAAGGCTTCTCAAAGATGCAGTTGGTCTGAAAGAATGGACCGGCAGATCCCAAGCTTGTGATTGTGTTTGTATGCAGCAAAAAAAGGCAGCAAACCTCGAGAAATATTCTGCGACTGGGCGGAAGGAATGCAGACTTGGCATGAGTTGGTTGCCGCGGGTTTTAATACATGCCGCAAGGGGGAATGACAAAGATAACCTAGCGAACCTTGGAAGCTAGGGAACGGAACGGCTGTACCTAGGATAGATACAGGTAAGGAATCAGAGAATGAAATACCTTGGAGAAAATACCTACGAAGGCGTGGATAGGGAGCTTTGGGGACGATTCGCAATCCGAAGAAAAGTCGATGTGGCATTCTGGGTGTGGTTACCTAAAGTACCTACGTAGTATGTGTGAAAAGTCACCCCTTCCCCTTCCCCCTGCCTTCCCTGTGTGATTTTTCAAGTTTTTGCCCTGCGCGGCCAGGTCTCTCGCCCCTTCACCACCACCTTTCTTCTTCCTCTCAAGTCTATACAGTGAGATGGTGATTGCGGTGTTACACATACGTACTGCACTCTGTACGAATTATTCAAGGTGTGTTGCGTGGATCGCGCATACGATGCAGCGCTACTGCGCAATGTGCTTCCGGCCGGCGACACCACCGCCTTGGTGCGGATGCTACCCAGTAGCGAGGCGACGGAACACCACCAAGCACATTCTGCCACTGGGGATGTAACTTGGCAGATAGGTGAGGTACGGATATGCAAGTCTCCAAGTCGATGATTTGGCCATGACACTTGGCGCTGACTGGGACGCTTCTGTTGTTATCGGATCGAATGCACCTTGCAGGAGACATGCCACTGGATCAGCCAAGAGGCTTGACAGTCAGACAGATCAGAGCAAAACGATTGGCATAGACGAACACCAAGCATTCAGGAAAACCCAGCGAGGGTCTTCTGTAAGCATGTGCATGTTTTCGAGACTCGACTGTATCAAGACAATGCGACAGAGGGACGAGCACACCTCACACTGTTAGAAGCAACAATCCGAACAAAATGTTTGCGAGACGGCGTCATGGGATGGCGAATGAGCAGAGTGGGATCTGTGCCCGGCAAGAGCTGCCGGGTGGAACAACGGAAGGACGGAAGAGTGAGACTCGACGTTGAGTCGAGTCCAACTAGCCGCACGTACAGAGTACGAATACTTCGCAATGTGTGTCGTGACTGTCATCTCGTTGGGGTCTCGTATCGTGTCAAACGCATGTCTAGACTCTAGTGTAGCCCGGGCTGGTGCTTGTCAGCCTGGGTCTTACTCAGATAAGCCACAGCGTCTTCTGAGAGGTCTTCCGTATTGGGCCTCGTTAAGCGTGCCTTGACTCCATCGTCAATGATGTGAGGGCGATGTAGCATTGCGCGTCTTTACTAAAATCCGAGGTGGCTTCCGAGTTAATTGCTCTGTAAACAGCGAAAGATCGGACAATCTTTGGACCCCAAATGAGCCCCCAAAGTCTATCTCTCTGCCCCTCAAAGACGACGCGCGGAATCCGTTGGCCTCTGCGGTGTTCATCTTCTCTCTTCCACCGCCCGCTTGCCCACGCAATGCGGACGCCAGCTTGCCAAGTTTGGAAAAAGGGAGAGTGTCTGCATGACTAGGTACATAGAAAGGTGCGCCTGAGGAATGCGTCCCAGGTACGGAGCACCACTGGCATCCTCCACGTGTTGTCACTGTCAGTTAAGAAGTACGTACCTCGCCGGGACATGCATGTAGCTCGATTTCGCTTCGAGATAAAGACCAGGGACGCAGCAAGCTTTTTGGTAATTGACCTGGTGGATTCCTGTCCATCTTCATCGGCGCATCCATATTAACAGCATCCACCAGCATGGAGAAGAAGCGGGCACCGATCATAGAGAGAAATTTTAAGAATGTCCATCAACGGTCTAGAAGATGAAAATCAGAAAAGTTGGTACGGAAGAGCGAGCATCATGGAGATCCCCGGCCCATCACGACATCAGATAAATTGGCGCGTTTCAGAAGGGAGCAACCTGGATGGGTCCACTCCCAAAATAGGAATACTTCTGCAGGTCAGTCGCGGTCTCTGATAGGACGACGGGAAGACAGGAACGCCGGGGAGCGTCTCCTTCCCAACCCAACACTCGGAACCTCAGGAACCTCGACTTTGTACATTCTGCCTTACCTTAAGTATGGACAAAAGTTTTAGGAAGGCGTATAATCGGACGTTGTCGGATTATAACCATCAATGGAAGTCTCGCTATTGTCGGTCACCGTATCGTACCTTCTCTAACCAAAGTTGGCGGAGAAAGTACGGAGTACCTGGAAACATCCTACAAAAGCAGGGACCAATAACCAGTGACATGGGATGTTGGTTCTTCCTCGCCCAGGGCCCTGTACAGGTTGCTGCCATTGCTCTCAACTGCCGCCCACGCCCATCTCACAGAGCCGCATGAATGATATCCGTACACTTTTTTGGTCACATGTGAACCAATCTGAGCTACCATCGGCCTCCATCGACGAACATTGACTGGAATTTGTCTTCTATCCTATCAAGATGCGGCCACATCACATCAGACTCCATGTACTGCGTTGACGTTGCAACCAATGTCCCCCGTCACAAACGTACCAGGAAACAAGCACAAGCGTCCACATCAACCTCTGTCCGAACCTCCGTCTCCGTTTCGCCAAGTCTGCAAACATGAGACGCTCCCTTACAGAACGCCGCACAAGGACAGGAATGCTCCCACAGAAAGAAGAAGCAGAGCGGCAGGTCAAGCAGTCCGGTAAAAGCCAACTGCTGGCCTCTATGGCAGCATCAGCCCTGCTCGTCCACGTTTGGGGCTGAGCTTCCCTGCACCTCGTCTGATGACCCAAAGTCGAGAGTTCCAGACAACCTTCAGGGCCCCTTCAAGAAATCCCATGGCGTCCAAGAGTCTCGACAGCTTGGTGTCATGCTGGCCACGCAAGACTCCTCATGGCGCGTCTCCGGAATTCCAACGGACGGTGCATCATTCGGCCTCGGCTTCCTGCGGATAGCCATGACCCGATTTCCATGGCTTCTCCAGAACACGCACGACTTGGTCTCGGCTGCTTCCCCGTCGTCGCCTTCAACTTCTGGAGTTCTCCACCACAACAGGCAAATCACCAATCCGAGTCTTTCCAAGCGAGCAAAACCTGCTGTACCGTCACATCCCGCTCAGCCATCAAACTGTTTGGTTCCTTATTCTTTGACCAGGACTCCAAACCCCCCACTACCTTACTCCTCATAACCTCAGCATTTGCAAAAACCCCCCAGTTTTCCCGGCCGTGCGGTTTCCTTTGTGGATCAAGTCATACCGAGGCGGACGACGGTTGATCAGAATCAGAGCTCATCCAGGGGGGGAGGGGGCTGCCTAGTGCCTATGATGACCTGCCGCGATCCCAAGTTTGTTTGCCGCACTCCGGACGATGATGCACGGTTCCGTCGTTGATTATCATTTCGCCAATGGTCAGCAGCCCGCCAATGCCTCGGCCGCCTTTATTGAGGCGGTATAGCCATTCACAGAGCTACACCGAATTACATCATATTTTCCCTCAAACAAATATACTAAAGACGAAACTCGTGAGAGGGCAAACTATTGTCATACATATTGTCTTTACACGTCTACCCGGCCTTGTCACTCCAGAGATCGCAGCCGACCCAGCCTCTAGGTTGTCTGGAGTATGCGGGCCTCCATCCTTGCTCGGCTAATGACTTCCGTTTGTCTACTTATACTCTATAGGGCCATGGACCTGTCTCTGGTCATCATATCGCCGTAAGCCGTTGTGCGATTTTCGTGGGTCTCGAGTACCGCGGTGGCACTAAAACGAGTCTTCTCACTTGATCAAACGGCCATGTTCAAGGTGTTGCAAGGTCACCGATACCCGTATTTCTTCGTGCTAGCCTCCATAAAGAGACAGTAGTCTGTGATACTAGACCGACAACAACTACCTCCCGCAGGCCCGACTGCACCATGCCTGCTTTTTGTAGCTTCCTGGCAGTCCGTGTGTATTATCATATTGCTTGTTGAGCGTCCGAGGTCAGATGTATCGGACGCTGCAGGAAGTAGTTTAATCTCAACCTTACACGACACAAACCTGGGGAATACCCTATATGAGGTCTTTATGCACGGCTCAGCTTACCAAAGTGTCTCAGCCTAGCACAGTAAGCCTAGCACAGTAATTATCACCCCCGGGCCTGGGTTCCGTGGCCCAGGACGACATATCCGTAAGCATCATTTGGTAAAGCAACGTGCTGCGCAGCAATAATGAGTTCGGTTCAAGCTTCCATCCAGTAAGTACCTACAGGTTGTCAAGCCAACCAGCTCATCTTCCCGCTTCAGAGGTGAAGGTCAGGACTTTGATAATGGTCACGACCAATGGAGGGTCAGCACCGCATGGACTTGCCGCATGTGGCATTGGACCACCCGAAGAGAAGACGAGATCTCTAAATCGTTGGAGAAAACAACGGGTGATGAGCCGTCCATTGGATAGTCTGATGCTTCGTACCCCGCCATCCCACCACCCAGCCAGGCCAACAAGACGGCCTCTACCCCGCCATCGCAACGTTGAGTCTGTCACTGGATCAATGGCTGACCACGTCAAGTAGAGGGTCATTGGGATCCCTGCACTCGTTCCCGAGTTTGTGACCAAGCGACCATGCTGTGCGCCGATGGTCATCTGTCGAGCTATTAGTCAATCGTCTGTCTGCACTGTTGGATGAATGGTTCCTATCATCAGACTACTGCAAGATCCCCGCACTGCGTCTTAGCCGCCCGTTGGAAGTCTAGATAAGCCCGACCTCAGCCACTGATATCAAGAAAGTGCAGTAGGTTCCCATCTCACTATAGCTGTCATTCTTGATACCTCGAGTAGACAAATTAGATCTCACTCACCATGGCTCCTCACCCCTTGACGGCGTTATCTGGAGACGAGTTCAGAGCGGCAAGAGACATCATTTCCAAGCTCTTTGACCAAGACGTTTCGCTCTTCTTCAGATGTATCTTCCTGCAAGAGCCAAAGAAGGAGGAGCTCGTGCCGTATCTTCAGGCAGAGCATGCGAGAAAGCTTACAGATGAGACACCTCGCCCACCGCGCCGAGCAAGGGTTCAATACGATGTTATTCGGAGCGGCAAGAGGCCAGAATATACCCAATCTGTGGTACACCTCAAGACCGGCCGTGAGCTTGACAGAACTGTGGCTGCACCGCACTTCCAAACCAGCTATACCCCGTAAGTTACGCCTACTATCATGCCTGTCTGAGTGAGAATCACCCGCTCAACACATCTCATAGCGATGAGTTTGGAATCTTCCAAGACGCCTGTGTGGCATCTCAAATATTCAAAGACGCCATGGCCGAGTTCTCTCTCCCGGAGAACTTTACCGTCACAATCGACCCCTGGCCCTATGGTGGTCCGGACGAGGACGAAGGGGACATTGCCCGCCTGATGCAGGGCCTCGTCTTCGCGCGCGACGCCTCCAAGAACAACGTCGACTCGAACCATTACGCCTACCCGATCCCGATCATCCCCGTCATGGATATAGCCACCCGCAAGATCCTCCGCGTCGACCGCCTCGCCACCGGCGCTGCAGGCGACGGCCTCGTCCCCCAACCGCGTGCTGCGGAACCAAAGTCACTCTTCGCCAACAACATTTCCTCCGAGTACATCCCAGAGCTCCTCGAGATCCCGCAGCGCGAGGACCTAAAGCCCATCAACATCACCCAGCCCGAGGGCGCCTCCTTTGCCATCCAGCCGGACAACCTCGTCGAGTGGCAAAAGTGGCGGTTCCGCCTCGGCTTCACCCCCCGCGAGGGCACGGTACTACACGATCTCTGCTACGATAACCGCCCCGTATTGTATCGTCTAAGCTACAGCGAGCTGACAGTGCCCTACGGCGACCCTCGTCCGCCCTATCAACGCAAGCAGGCCTTTGACCTCGGCGACGGAGGCTTCGGCCGCGTGGCCAATAACCTCGAGCTCGGCTGCGACTGCCTCGGCGCGATCCACTACTTTGACGCCCTGATGGCCGACACGGAGGGGAACCCGACGGTGGCGAAGGCCGTGGTCTGTCTCCACGAGCAGGACAACGGGATCGGGTGGAAGCACACCAACTTCCGCACGAACCGGGCCGTGGTCACGAGGCTGCGGGAGCTCGTTGTGCAGTGCGTCGTCACGCTGGCCAACTACGAGTACGTGTTTGCGTACAAGCTCGACACGGCGGGCGGGATCACGCTCGAGACGCGGGCAACGGGGATCATGTCTGTCGTGGCGGTGGACGAGGGCAAGAAAGAGTCTGCATACGGCGCCGTCGTTGCGCCGGGCGTGCTGGCGCAGAATCATCAGCACATCTTTGCTGTGAGGATTGATCCTGCGGTGGACTCGTACGCCGAGGGGGATACGCGCGTCGTTGTGGAGGAGAGCGTACCTGTGCCTTTGAATAAGGAGACGAACCCGTATGGCAACTACTATGAGATTCGGAAGCAGGTTGTCGAGAAGGCAAGTTGGATCGATGCGGAGCCAAAACTGAACAGGGTGATCAAATTTGAGAACCGGACGAAAAAGAATGCCATGTCGGGTAGGAACGTGGGGTTCAAGCTTACGCCGTCTGCGTCGCAGCTGTTACTGGCGGACGAGACGAGCCAGGTGTCGAAGCGGGCCAAGTATGCGAGGCATCATGTCTGGGTTACGGGACACCGCGATGACGAGCTGTGGGCGGCTGGGCAGTATACGAACCAGAGTCGGGAGGAGGTTGGTGGGGTGTGGGATATGGTTCAGAGGGGGGACTGGTTTGAGGACGAGCGTGAGGCGAATGGGGATGGCAATGGTGGTGGTGAGGGCAGGAAGAGTAGTCCTGTCGTCTGGAGTGTGTTTGGGTTGACGCACAACCCTCGGGTGGAGGATTGGCCTGTGATGTAAGTTGTTTGCTGTTTTGGTTCCATCCTTTTCCCTTTTGTTTGACTTTCATCACTCTCTTTACCCAGGATCTTATATAAGACCATCAACTGACTGGCGTTCACCAACAGGCCCGTCGAGATACACCATCTCACCATCCGACCAGCAGACTTCTTCACCTCGAATCCGGCGCTCGATATGCCCACCAACAAGAACAAGACGAGTGTAATTGTTCCGTGTTGCGGGGGACAGGAGACCAACGGGGCGAATGGAGATAGCAAGGAAGGCGAGCAGGCAGTACAGGAGGCTGCCCTGACGCATCTTCAGGGGCCTGGACCGGATGTTCCTGCTGCGGAGGCTGGAGCGCATGTTGAGAGGCGAGACTAAGTGATAGCCTGCTTAGCGAAACGGCATTCGGTGACTGGCTTTGACGCGCAAGCCCCATTTCCGTTTACTTACTTTTGAGATCACATGATTCGCTTTCCCCTGATTCAAGATGTAAAAGAATTGTCGAAAATATGCTTCACCACTTGTATAATCTATCGCTCTGTGAAACATCCTCCGACTGAAATGCAAGTCTACAGTATAATTAAGCTCGGCGATTATATAACGAGACGTTAAGATGGAGTATACGATGGGCCAAGCCGGTGGGATATCTCAACGACACTTGCTCAAGTGACTTACCGACTACACACAATAGTCGAGAGGCTTCACAATAACAAATATGATATCCTGAAGCATCATGGTTTTCTTAATATGGTTGGGTGTTGTATATTAATAACCTTGTTACTTCATAAGAGCCATGCTGACTGGCTCGAAGTCTGCCAAACCTAAGTCGTAGTTTGGCCACAAACTACCAAGTCCGAATTATGTCATCGTTTATCGACAGCGACTTCGAATTAGTTCTGGTTGCTCTCAAGATTTTGGAATTCTGCTGCAGGAGTTTCGGATGAAGGCAATCTTTCGCGTGGTGTTTGCGAAATAGTACTCAATCCGACCCGGATGCTCTCGGTCCACACTTGAGTATTAGAACCTCGGGCTAATTCAATGATCAATCTGTTTAACTGTAGAGGAAGTCATTGAGCAGGAAATCCCGTTGCTTTTGAACATTACCGCAGCTCTTCCGTGGGACGCACTCGGTGAAGCCTTTTACATCAGTTGCTGTCGAATTGTGACCTTCTTGACGACATTGAGAATACCCTTGTATTTTACATCCCCAGTGCGAAAAGTCTCTGGCTATTATATTTCGATGATTTTGAAACCTTGCCGTTAGATTTCTCGGCGTTCCTAGAGTTCGGGTCGTTCCTTTCGCCGCTCAAACATCCATTGTTTACTCGTTCAAGACGGAAAGTTGTCAGATGTCAACCGAAGATCAGGTTGAGCTTCGATTCACGTTGAGTGTACGGGCCATATATTCTAAACTCAAAGTGACGCTCGGTTCTGCTAGTACACAGACAGCGGGTATACCGCAAAAGCAAATGTTGATCGCACAATATGCAAGCTATAGGCTTCCCAATCTGCAACATTCTAAGTAGCTCTGAACAAGCAGATATCGACATAGAGCTTGAAGTTCTCTTTTGTGAATCACCCATCGAGGCTGCTATGATGTTACGCTTGCAAACTATACCTGATCGGATCGAGCCGACTCGGCTTGGCTAACATGACTCTTTCCCGCTCCCCAACTTTGTGGATCATCCTTGTGACATGTCAAAAAGCGAGCCGTAGGATGATAGGATCGACAATTTTTCATTTGATCAAAGTTCAGGAGATTCAATGGAAGCGGAGCCGGGCCATGGTGTGCGGGAACTCCCTTGGTTGGAATTTTCGTGATCGTGACTCGCGACAGTGAGCGTAGACCGCATAGCAATACAGCGATGGCATGTATTCTCAACCGAGATGCATCTCTAATATACGCATCGGGCAAGCCGATGATGGACGTCATGAGCGCCCGTTTGGATTGGAAGCAATATGGCTATGAGAAATAGGAACTAGGGCATTGCTATGGGGTTTGATATCGGTTATTGAAGAAGATGTTCTGTAGACTGTCAACAGATGGGAAGATCACCTCTTGATCCTCAATACTGCAGTATAAAGACATCTGTAGTCCCTATGAAACTTCGAAAGCTGTTCTTCCAGTCACAGGAAACCCCAACAACACCTCAAGTTCCTCTACGCAAACCATCCTACTCAAAATGTTCTCCTTCAACGCCATCATCGCCCTCATGTTCGTCCTCCCACCACCAAACTTCCCTCATCATCGTAGACAAATCACTAACAGGACCTAACATAGGGGCCTCGCCGCAATCGTCAACGGCGCACCCACCGACAACACCGTCACCAAGCGCCTCGACGACATCAAGAACTGCTATTGCGGCAGAGACACCGGCTCCGCGCTCGTTAGCGACCCGACCTCCACCAAGAACGCCTGCCCCGATTACGGCACCGTTGGTGCGTACATACAAGATACCATCCCTCAATTTCTCAGTTCGCTCGGGAATCATACATGGATCAAAGTTGAAGATACTAATCGTGGCCTGTTTGCGTGTAGGCGGCCCGTACCCTACCAAGTGCCAGATCATGATTGACATCAACGAGCCCTTGTTCGTTGCCAAGTGCAAGGCTCTTGGTCAGCCTACCGGATGGTGCGAGAAATAGGTGGGAGAAGATAGAAAGGAGAGACAGCGGTGGTTTGGAATTTGTTGATGTTGCTAGCTCATCGGCAAATAAACATGCCGTTCTACATCTAGAAGGTGTACGTGTATTATATTCAGTCAACTTGCGTTTATTCGTATCGAGTTCAGCATGATTTAACCAAACATCCTTAAACCCCTGTCTGATTTGATAGCGTGGTCAGGAAATATTTAAGTTGACTTGAAAACCTTCTCCTGACAAGCCAGATTATAGCGCCCCTACTCCTGTAGGTAGCTTACCCAAAGAATTTACACAAACGAGCGTTTCTTGTGTGCTAATGGAATCCATTGGATACTCCTAGCCACTGAGTATCAGGGTAGCTTTAGAGGCAATCGGCTCCGCTGCCACGATAGTCGTCGACCTGTACTCCTTGAAACTAACACCAAACGCATAGCATTGTCATAATCGGGGTATCTATTCTACAGCGACTGACTGACTGATTGCTGACCTGACTGAATCTCGCCCAACCGCCGCCACTGTCTCGCCTTGTCCGCACAACCTCGCCCCACCCCACAACATACATCTACTGAGGCCAGGAGCACACTCTCTTTCGTCGCTTTCTTTCGTGACCAATGTCCATGAGATACGATCAACTCCCTCTTTCAAATTTAACATTTGTCCCCCGAAAAGAAGACCGATTGGGTATAAGTCAACCGCTTGGCCATGTTTAAAATCGACTTCGGCCCCGTAACGAAAATAGGGACCCAAACATCAACTCACTCACGAGCCGCCACGGGGGCTGCCATTGGCAGGTTGTTTACGGTTCATCAAGCCGCTGAAGAAAGCCTGGAGCTTGTCGTTGTCCATCTCATCAGGATTCTCCTCGGCGGTATCAGCCGGTGGCGTGGTGGGATCCTGTGTAGCACTGTTTGCCTGACGGTCCTGCGATCCGTGTTAGTCAAGGCCGCTCCCTTATTGAGATCGACTTGGCGACATACCTTAAGCCGCTGCACCATGTCGTCGGCATCCACCTGGATGCCTCCCATGTTAAACTGCACAGGCCCAATGTGCTGGCTGACCTTGCCGTCGTCGGCTCCCTGCCGCAACGCACTGGAATCCGACTCATCGGTCCGCTGTCCTGTTCTCGACTTAGAGGCGTCTGCCTTCTTGTCGTCGTTACTTCGGCTGCGGTGCGTTTCCAGAGTCTGTAGACTGGAACCGAGGAACTCTTGCGTATCGGTCGATGACATCTCCAGCTGCGACGGGTCGCCGTCCCGACCTGCGAATGAGATCGCGCTGCCGGCTTGGCTTAGATCACGGATCCAGTCTTCGAACGGCGCCACTGCTGAGGACGAAACTTCGCCATTGTAGTCCCCGTCTGCCTTCGCCTTGGCCAAAATAGTCAGGCCGTCCGTCGTCATCGCAGGTGAAGGGAAAGTGGACTGCAGGTCATGCGACCAGCCTTGGCTGGTCGCCTCAACATCGAATCCATCCCTCAGCACGCGGATCTTGCCCCAAGAGTCCCAGTTTGGCGGCACCAGGATTTTGTCTCTGTCAATCGTGTTGTGCTTCAGCGGTTGTCGTTTTAGTAAGGAGGTGATGCCCAGACTCGAGTGCACCAGACTCGGTAATGACGAAGGGACGTTTGGTGTGGTGTAAATGAGCGAGGCGCCGTCTGGGACAACACTGTTAGCATGGCCCTCGGCCTCGGAGAGGGCGCCAACTCACGCCTCAGCAGCACTGTCCTGAGATACTGTAGAACCTGGTCGAAGTCACCTTCCTTCCACCCTTGCGTCTTCTCCAGACCCTCCATCTTCTCCGCCTGCAAGTTCGTTAGCATGCATACGATCAACCTTTCGGCATGGCACTTGATCTCACGTTCTGGCAGACCACGCAGAGCGGCAGACCTATGCCTTCTTCCCATTCACCAGGCCCAAGAGGCAGTGCCACATCGCCTTCGCTAGTGGTCGCTCCCGTGCCGTCAAGGTTCGTCGAGCCGCCTCCCCTGCCCCTATCTCGCCATGCGACCATCACCTCCTCCATCGTCGCTTGACACTCGTGGCTCGAGCTCTCGAGGATGCTGCGCATGAACAAAATCCATTCTCTCAGTTGGCGCATCCACAAGTGTGGTGTAGACCAGTCAAGGAGCACCACCATTAGGGTATTTGGTATCGTCTCGGGTGTAATTAGGGGCTGAATAAGTTTCGGGAACGATTCTGAGGGGTTCGAAAGCATGTAGAGAGAAATCCGCGCAAGTATGTCTAGAGACTGAGTCAGCATCAGCAGCAGAAGCCGAGTCGAGCTGACAACGAACCTTCTTGGTCGGCATCCAGGACGTCGTAGTAGGTATACCCAAGAGCGAAGCTGTTTGCAATGGGAGGCGTCTTTGAACTGTTGCGATCCAGACTTCGCTTCTCGCTGCTGTGTGACAGAGACTCGACAAATTCCTTTTGCGACTCTGGTGAGCCTCCCAGCACGATCATGTTCTTCTCCGGTAGCCGTTTGCTGCTGGCTACGTTGTCGAGCATGGAGCTCCAGAGGTCCTTCTTCTCTCCATTGCGGCCGTCTGACCCTGCGGAAGCCGAGGTGTACGTCGACACCCGATTTGCGCTTGCCGTCATGATTGTGTTGCTCGCTGAGGAGGACGCATGAGAGGGGTTTGGGTGGAAATCGTGGGTCTGTGGACGTGGTGTCTCGGTCCAGGAACTTGAGTCGGTGGGTTGACAGTGGACAGCTTTATGCGTATGCAAATAGAC